ACATCAATCTTTTTGACGAGCCAGATCTTTATGACATCAATACAATTGGATCTATGTTTAAGGCTTGGCTACGGGAGCTGCCCGACGAACTTTTCCCGAAGGAAACCCAGGCCATGATTGCGGAGAAATGCGAGGGCGCAACTACCGCCCCGCAGTTGCTGAAGGATGAGCTCTCGAAACTGCCACCCTACAACTACTACCTTCTCTTTGCAATCACCTGCCACCTCAACCTCCTCCACTCGTATGTCGATCAGAACAAGATGGATTATCGGAATCTCTGCATCTGTTTCCAGCCTTGCATGAAGATTGACGCGTTTTGCTTTCATTTCCTCGTATGCGACTGGAAGAATTGCTGGCAGGGTTGCTGGACCGAGAAAGAGTATCTGCAGCTTGAAAGGGAGATGGACGAAAAGGAGAAGGCCGCATCTTCGAAGACGGGAGCTGTTGATCACTCTTCTCTACCTTATTCGGATGCTAACGAAAGAGCTGTATCTTCTTCCGGCAGCAGTCAAGCAACCGCCGAGGATGAACCAACGTATCGTCCTGAGACAGCCAAGAGCCGGAAACAGAAGCCCAAACAGATTGAGACTACACACACAAGGAGCATCTCCCAGCTCCCCGAGCTCGGGCCGCCCTTGTCTCCGATTCAGATATGACCTTGACTCTCCGCTCTCAATTTTTGGTGAAGTTGTGCTGTTGTTGACACTGCTGCCCTGACAACTCTCAATCTACATCAATCGCCTTCCTTTCCAAACTGCCCCTTTAAGAAAGCATCCTGCTTTAGACACGGACTGGATCCGAGGTCAAACTAATCTTCTTGTGGTTGTACATTGGACTTGTCTTTTCCCAGCATCCTGCTTGCGATTCGTGATTCTCCCTGCTTCGCCATCTTGGTTTCGCTTTTTCGCGCACAAAGTCGCGGAAGAATTATTGAATCCAACACTTCCTTCCGGTGCACTCACCACTACTCTTTTTCCCGTCTCTCAAATGTGGTTCTTTGCGAAAGAAGTGCATAGATTGGCGCCCTCGGAGTTGGGTTATGGGTTTTTCATACTTTTTTTTGGTTGTACAAATTGCCTCAGCTAACGTGCAGTATCCTGGTGGCCCGATTGTTTTACGTACATGTACTTGAAACGTCGCATTTACTTTTCTTTTGCCATTTGATTCCCAGCTTGAAGCTTTTTTTCCCGATGTTTCTCATTTCCGTTGCGTGCATACCCCTTACGCCCGTCATTCCTTTACTTTGTTTGTGCGCTAGTCGTGTGCCTCTATCAGCCTCTTATTGTAAAATATCCGAACGGAACTCTTATGCGTCAACTTGAGTACAAAGCCAAAACAAAGTTGGATGGTCCCAACATGTAGTTCTAGACCATCTTTGCATTTGAGATCTCAAATGATCGGGGTATGATGCATTAATCTGATCTTGTTTTTGGTCCAACAGTGAAAATCCGTAAAAGTGATATAAACAATAGAAAGACCAGCGACTCCAATCCGAACTCCTGCTTTTGTTTGGCCAAGCCCTGCGTTTGAGACACATGAAAGAAGAACAACGAACGAAGATAGATCTTCGTCTAGTGCATCCGAAGTCGTGTTTACTCGCTCATCCACCACCGGACTTGCGGGATCTCCGCTCATTTGATCTCATCTTCCTCTCGTTGCGGCGTATTCTCTCCTTGCGTTCGGCACGCGACAAGCCACGGATCGAACTGCCCTTAGCCGCCGCCTCTTCTTCCTTCTTCCAGTCCTTCTCGTTGACCTCTACCAGCCACTCATCATCCGACTTGTTTTTGCCCTTGTATCCCCATCGAGGTACCCATTCACCCTTCTCTTCGTCGTAGACCAGCTTCTTGCGGCGCTCCTTGTCCGCCAACGCAGCACCGGGCTTGTTGCTATACTTGCCAATACCCTTCTTGCGAGCGAACAGCTCCCACTTGGTAGGTGGCTTGGGTGTGGGCAAGGGCTTGTGTCGCGGGAGTACCGTCGCTGGGGGAGGGAGGGTGAGGAGGACACCGTTCTGTGCGGAAGATGTAATCGGGCAGGTAGTGAGGAGCTGGTTGAGGAGCGACTGGGTGCCGTCTCGCGCGATGGCCTTCAGAGAGGCGTTCAAAGGCTCTGAGCGCGGGAGTTCAAGGGGGTTAGGATCATTGGCCATCAGGTAGCCCAAGTCGAAAGTGTACGGCGTGGGCTTGGAGACTGTAACAGGACTAGGGGATCGAAAGAATCAGCATCTGCAGTGAGGCGGTTACTGGCTTGTCCATGGACCATTGTACTCACAGTCTCTCGGGTTTGGGCTTAGCCTCAGAGGCAGCGGTCGCCATTTCAACTTCGGTCATTGTGATAAGAGTACCGATGCCGATTCTTGAAGAACGGCGATATGTACCGGTGAGGTTGGAAAATGCGAAATGTAGACGATCAATATGGACCAGTGTTATTCCCGATCGGACTGGCCCCAAAAAAAAGTTGCGGAATAAATTTTGGGAGGCCGCTTTAACCCAAGTTCCGGGCCCACGCTTAGGACGGCCACTACGCTAAGCCCTAAATAGTAACAGGAGAAGTTCGAAAATGTTGCTCCGAGACCCCAACCACATTGGATTGATACACTCGGGCAATCAACGGCAGCAGCCTGTCTCCCTCTTCTTCCAACCTTTCAGCAGCCTCCATTGACCGGTTAACGCTGGCCTCTGCGCCAGTGTGTCGCAATGGTTTCCTCTTTCTGCTGGAGCTGCTTGACGCGGCTTCGTCCGACGACTCGAGCTCTTCTACCACCGACATTGGCAACACCCAGAGTAGCGGCATTCCACTCATCACCAGTGCAATATGCAAACCCAACAAAAAAGAAAGCCAGTCTTGACGGTCCTCCCAAGTACCGTCAGGCAAAGTCAGCCAAGATGAAGAAGAAGAAGCCCGTCGACAGGCCCCGTCCGCCCCCTGTGGGAGAGCGCAAGGCGCTCCGGAAACGCATCGTTCTCAGTAACCCGAACGCTCTTGAGGTTGAGGGCATGCAGGACCTCACAGAAGAGACGATGGTGGATTCACGCCTTCGGGGAACGGTCCTCGGTCTGCCCCTGCCACTGATCGATCCGTTAAGAGCTGTGCAGGCTTTCAAGCCCAAACAGGGCTGGTCTATATTCCGCCGTCCCGGCACGGTGGTAAGACGGGAGACTGTCGAGCTGGGAAGACAATTTGACATGATTTCGGGTGAAGGCGAAGACAAGGGCAAGGTGGTCAAGAAGATCGTTACGGGTGTGCGAGGAACGGGAAAGAGTGTGCACCTGCTACAAGCCATGGCCATGGCCTTTACCAAGAAATGGGTCGTGTTTACTGTTCCCGAACGTATGTTATGACCCTGTTTACCTAAACCCTGATCTTCTGTTTGCTTGATTGCTACGTTGGTGTACGTGGGCTTACAGAACATTTTAGCCCAGGACCTGGTCATCGCACACACTGGCTACGCGCCCCTCTCTGACGAAGTTCCCAATCTATATGTCCAGAATGAAGTAACGGCTGCCCTCTTGTCTCGCACGGTCAAAGCGAACGAGGAGGTCTTGTCGGGGCTCAAAGTATCTCGGGCACATCCCGCTTTCGGCTCCGCTGTGAAACCTAGCACGAGCCTGGCCGAGCTTGCTACTCTTGGCATTAACGATCCGGCTGTCGCCTGGCCTGTCTTTGAGGCGCTGTGGGCTGAACTCACTGCAACTTCTGCGTCTCCAGGGTACGAGAAGGCCTTCAAGCCTCGCCCTCCCATTCTTGCTACTGTGGATGGCCTGGCACACTGGATGAAAGACACTGAATACCGAACTGCTGACTTTGAGCCCATTCATGCTCATGATCTCGTCTTCGTAAGACACTTCCTTTCGCTGTTGAAGCCCGGTGCTGGTCAGCCTACCCTTCCGAACGGGGGCATGCTGCTCTATGCCACTTCCGCTTCCAACAATCCCACTGTCTATAGCTTCGAAGTTGCTCTCAAGCAGGTAGCAGCGCGCCAGGCTGGCGTTAGTCCTTCCGCTCCCGAATTCCCTCAGGCCGATCCCTACAGCAAGGTTGACAAGCGCGTCCTTGACGCGTTCGATTCTCCCAAACCCGCCTCCGCTAAGGAAGGTGCTCTGGAGCTTCAGACTATTGGCGGCCTTACAAGGGATGAGGCTCGAGGCTTCATGGAATACTTCGCACGCAGTGGACTTCTGCGGGAAAACATCAATGACGAGTGGGTTGGGGAGAAGTGGAGTTTGGCGGGAGGCGGCGTTGTTGGTGAATTAGAGAAGCTGGGAAGACGGCTCAGAGTGATGGCCTAAACGACTCCAGGCAACGTCGTTTATTCATCTAGAGCTGCGCTGGTTGGGGGTTGCTGCGGTTCTGTGTATAAACCTTTTGTGGCATCGAATTCCCGTCCATTATGCTGTGCTATAAAGGATGGGTTCGGCTTTTCTTAGAATATCTGTACTTTACCGGATGTGTTAGGTTTCTTGTGTGTCTGTATGCTATAATGGAGTCATCAAAAGATACAACCGACTTCCTTCTTCAATCTGATGGCAATTGCCCTTCATGATGGGCAACGTCCGGAAATCTTATCTTTACTTGGATGTTAGACGTTTCGAGCTCCTGTAGGCTCTTCCGGCGGTACTAGGCAGATTGATGTTCAAGGAGTACCACCAACAACACAAGTCTGAATGCGCACTGGAATCCAGAAAAGCTACAGAGATTATCATCGAAGGCTCCTCGTCCTCCTCTGCCGCCCAAGCTATAATTATATAGCAATCACAACGGCGATAAAAAACAACCCAAACCAAGCAGCTTGTCGCAAGATAACCTCCAAAAAATATACAAGAAATTCACCCATCACAATCAACAGAAACACAATCGTGCAACAAATCTGATGCCCCTCAAGATGAACAGTCCCTGCTCGACCCTCGGCAAAGAAGTGCCTCAGGTCCGGCTGCCAATATGTGGGAAACTGGAAATAGCTCCGTTCGAGCTCTGGTGCTACTCCCGCAGAGCTTCTTCTAGGAATCGAAGTGCCGACGCTTGTAATGTCCATTTTCTGCCCATTCCCCGCGGTATGGGCGCTTCCTTGTTGCCATATAACGCTCCAACTCCGAGTCAAACTGCTCTTCGGCCTCAGTTGCTTCGGGAAGTAAAGTTTGCTCTCTGGCTGCAGACTCCTCTCTGTCGTCATTTGCTCCGTCCATCTGCGCCCGGCCAAGTTTCGTCTGGGTCCCGAGTGCCCTCGTAGAAGAACCCTGACTCGGAACGGAACTGTTATCTGGAGTCGGGTCACGAGGTGCGGCGCTCAGTGGCGGGTACTCTGGAGACTGCTGCTGAGTATCGTCCTCATCGCTTGACTCGTCGGCGTGTTCGCCGTCACAGGCACATGGTCGGCCAAGCTGCCTGAGCATACCCTTTTCTGTCATGGGCGACTCAGTGTAGGAAATGAGAATTTCCTTTCCCTTGGGAATATCTTCTTTTGCCCATACAAATACACGATTTGGGACCCCGCCGAAGTCGAATCCCCACTGTGCGTTGTGCTTTTCTGGGCAGGCATGATTGAAGAGGCTGAAACCCGGATAGAGATACAATGCTCGAAAAGATGGGTCATAGCTTTCAAAGCTTTCCCTCTTTTTAGTCATTTCTCGTTGCTTTTCTGGGTCGTCAATCTCCTTCCGCCTAACGATCTTCTTGCGTGGCTCTTTACTCATCTTCAGGGCCGGTACATCAGCCCAGGGAACCGCGTTGATTAGCAATTTCCTTAACACGATTTGAATGACCCAGGTGTCGAACGACAGGTCTGCGAATATGTCCACGCCCAGCTGCATGAGAATGTCAAAGGGGACCTGGATATTGGCAGCCAATGTGAACGGAAAAGCTACTTTTTCATCAGCTTGGTCCAAGTTATCCTCAAGGATCAAGAGTTCGTCAATCTCGTGCGCCATGAGATTTGGGTCGCGAAACCTATCACGCCTCTCGAGTGTGATGTCAAAAACTTCCCTGAGGAGAAGGCTCAGCAACGTTCCATGGGCCTCGTTTGTGTGGCTAAAGTAAGAATAATCTTTATGATTGGCCCATTTCATCATGTATGGGCGCATAGCATCATGCAGCCATTTCCAATTCCTCCCACAGGCCCGAAAGTGATAAAGCTTCCGTGCAATCTCGGAGCATGTCTTGGGCCCAGGACCTGGGGGACAGTAGTTGAGTGGTATAGCTTCTTTCTCATCGAGGAGAACGCATTTGCATGCGGCCTTGTCCTGTCCGGCTTTGATCTTTCTGATCTGTTCTTGGTCCTCTCCCGGCCACACAGCACCAAGCTCTTTGTAACAGTTGGCGCATCGTGCCGTGCTTGCGCTGTATTCACACCGGTCCGATGGCAGCCTGCTCACCCCCAGATGTCCCCGCATTGCTGGCTCCTCGACGAAAATCATCTGTCCTTTCTTGATGTTTTCGGTTGCAAACACACCTAGTGCCGTGGCGGAATCCTTTGCTGGCTTGAGGCGCTCCACCGATTTGACCTTGCATCTTCTCCAGGGGAGGGCTTGATTGTTTCCGAAGAGCCTTTGGTTCAATTCATCGAGGAAATCTTGATCAGTGCGATGTTTGTCACCCGATTCATACGGATATAGCCTTCCTGTCGAAACCTTTCCTGCCCGGGACTCGTGAAACCAAAGCTGTTTCTCCTCCTTTTCATCGTGAGCCTGCTCGAAATAAGCCTCCATTACCTCGTGACGTCGTTCGAAAGGTCGTCTATCGCGGTCCGGCATGATGACCCTCTGAGGGAGGTATTTCTCCATTGCCTTGCAATCCTCTCGGGCTTGAAGAGCAGCGAGACTGAGGCTGATGATATTATGAAGTGCCTTTCGAAGGGTTGGGATGAAGTAGTTAATCCCGTTAGGTTGACGCATTTTTTCCACTTCTGGCGGCACGCCTCCTGTATCACTGTTCATGCCTGCCAGGATATGCTGAGAGATCGCGTGCCAGATTCGGGGGTAGAGCCCGGGTTGACGATTTCTGCACCGAGCATCGACAAGGACCTCGCAGAGAAGCTGGGCTCGGTAGGCATCTCCGATCGCAAGGTCAAAGAAGGCCTGTTGGTAGTGGTAATAGGAACGGCTGACCCAGTATGTAGGGTTGTATGGGCTGAGTTTAATAGCCCAGGTGTACATGTCCAGAGGGTTCAACTCATCGCCCGGGTGGAATCTTCGTCCCCGCGGCTTCCCTGTGGATATGTTCCAATGTCCAAGGTCGCTTCTGGAAAAGAAGGTGAGAGACTTGCGCTCATAGTCATAAAGACGCTTACGCAAGACTTGCGAAGTCCCAGTCTGGACTTGGCCTCGGGCCCTAAGCTCCTGCTTCAATGTTGCAACCGTCAATTGGCGGGAAGTCATTACATCTTTGCCTCGAATAAGGACGGGACCCGTATTCGGCACATGCCCCCAGTCTTCCAAGATATCATCGAGACGCCACTTCGCCTGGTCCATCCCCATCTGCGTCCATTTATCTTGCCATTCGGACTCTGCAATGGGGTACATGTGCTCCCGCAGGAGAAGCTCGTACACCTCGAAGGCGAGTCCTTCCGTGTGCCTCATTGCCCTTGTATCGTCGTCATCATCCGGCCGAGGAAAAGGGTGCTGGCCTAGGCTGTCCAAGTATTGTCGGAACTTTTGAGTGGGACGATCCCACAAGATGCGTGCTAGTTTTGCATCTTTCGATTCCACATATGGGGCCCAGTCGATCTCTTGAAACTCGTCCGGCCTGGGAGGGAACTCCGGTGCGTCAACCACCTCGCGAGGCGGATGGGACAGGAAAACTTCCGTCCACCATGCCTGGGCTCTTTCGGGATCTGAAGGAGGACGAAGACCGAGGACCATTATTTCAACAACAAACAGCACGAATTCTGTAGGAGAGCCTGGTATGTCTGATCAATGGTTGGACGATGGTTGGACGATGCAAGTCAATCTTGTCATTCGATAGAACATTGTATATATTTAATTCTTCTCAATGGCCAGCAATGAGAGAGGACATGTCGAATATTTAGGGCAACAAAGAACCCTTTATTCAAGGACAGGGCAACAGATGCTTAAAATGGTGTTTCTTTCAGGGCTTTGTAACACATTAGACTTTCGAAAGTCCAGTGGTTCAAGGACAAAGAGACACAGTAGGCAAGAAACGAATGTATGCTCGATGGTCGGTCCCTAGGTATGGTATGGTAGACCTTCGTTTACCCTATTTCGGCTGCTCGCAGTTGATTCCCATGGTAGCATTCAGGAACAAAGGAAAGCCCCGAGTTCCCCGATTCGGCTGTCTTTCATTATCAAAACCAACCCATGAGATCGCAAAAGCATGAGGATAACAGAAAGCGTATTGGTTTTAAAATCCATTGACCTGCTGAGGTCCGGCGTATTGTATACACTCGACTGTCGAAGGCTCCATGTCAACATGATATATATGGGTCAATATGATACCTACTGAGGGTTTTCTCAGCATTGACATCCCGTCAGTCTTATTGTTTGTGCTTAATATCGATGAACGACGACATCTATGAGCAGCCCGAGTAAAGGTGGGGGAAGAAAGACGTTCGTCTTTGACTTGTCATTGAATCGGGATGTTTCCTTTCAAGATCCTCGTTGAAGTCGAGGCTAGCCAGGGTTCACAAAGCAATCATGGCCGTGTCCTGAACCAAGAACTCTTAAGGTCAAAGAACGATCAATATTTAGCGATATTATGATGATTGTTTTTTGTTTCCGATGTTGTGGGTCGTGTTGTTGATGGCAGAGTTGGAGAAGGCGAAGCTTGCGAAATACGAACACTCAGCACAGCCTCAGGTGCTTCTTCCATCATCATCATCATCACCTGGACTCGGCCCCCTGGGGTCATCATAGTTTTTCTTGTCAAGACGCAGGGTTGGCCCTCCGGTGTCACCAGATTATTTTCCTTTATCTTGTCCTCCTGATCCAGGGTTGACTAGGTAGTCATTATCGATTCTTTTTCTCCTTGTAAGGCTCATAATCATCCGAACCCCACCGGTTCTGCGGTAAGTGGCCTTCAAAGAAACAAACAGACCGGCAATATCCATGCTAGTCCAGGCGCATATCTGTACCTGACAAAGAAAATCTCTTAGCCATGTACGGATCGCATTCTCACTCACATTCCACCGGTCCACCGCATTCAAGCCCTTCTCAACCAGAATGGCGTTTACCTGCGACAACTCAACACCAGCAATCCTCTTGGTCCGCGGGTTCTGTGGCACCTCCGCCGCCCCCTCCTCCTCCTGCGCCGATTCCAGCTCCTTCGTATCATTCTAATACGTACGGATCTATCTCCAGTATATCACCTGGCGCAGGTGGGTCACCCGTGTTTGGTGCTCCCGGCGGCCTGAATACAACGTCATGGGGAGTGAGATATAAGCATCAGATTCTGGCGCCTCCGCCGCTGCCTGTGAGTATCTGAATCGTCGCGCAGTTACGTGGATGACCTCATGCTAATCTGGTCTTATATAGCCCCGACCCCCAAGTGCGGCGGAGCATCAGCACCATAATCATGCGCAAGTTCAGTCCCCGACTGTCAGCTCCCCTGACCATCACAAGCCTCTGCCACCTCCTCCTGGGTATGGCTCACAGCCTCCCTTCTTCGAGAATCATCAGCAGTGGACAACAGGTGCCTCGCACCCGTCCCAGCAAGCTCTTGCGCCTCTACCGCCTCCCCCTCCACCTCAGCCAATTCCCCCAAGTTACCAGACTCAACCCACACCGTTAGGAAAGCAGACATGGCAACAGCCGAACCACCCTGCTTATGCAGAATTTCCTTCCAGTCAAAATTTTCAGTTGTCGTCCTACTCGGCCTCAGCACATGCAACCGAAGCCAGCTCAGGGCTTCCCCAAAGCATGAGTCCTCCACCTCCCGCCCAGCAACTTCCGCCTGCAGAGCAACCTTGGCCCCAGACCTTGCCAAACGAGCATGGAACTGCTCCGCCAGTACCGCCCAAGACCGGTCCTAACATGTTCCCAGCCAATGCTTATGGCTTGGGGCCTGGAACCCCGTCAGATTGGGAGTACCTGACACCTACTCCCGGGACAGGAGTGGGCGTGGAGATACCCGAACGCAAGCAGAACCATCCAATCAATTCCTCGACTGTAGTCGACTCACTTCCAAGTCAGCCGGCTTCCTTTACGCCTGAATCGGGTAACCAACCCACCGTATCTACTCCACCAACGACGACCTCACCCTCTGCGCAACCTGCATACCCTCAGCAGCCCATACCTCAGCAGCATCATGACAGCGGGTCACCAGTTAGTCCAAGCACTACGCCGGATATGCGTGATCCGCCCCGTCCTGTTAGGGTAAATAGTAGCGGAACCGAATACAGTATTATCTCGGCTACTGAAGCATCTGAAAGTATTGATGGCGTTATCGAAGCTTGGAACCAACCAATCACTCCACAGACCAAATCCGCTGTCGAGCAATCTCGGGAGAGTCTGGCCTCAGGGCCCGAAACCAGGTCCTCAACGCAGGGATCGAGCCCTGTCGACATCACACAACAGAAGCAGGAATTCAAGGTTCCTCGGAAGGAAGTCCCGTCGCGCACGGCTACGCCTGCGTCGAGCAGTGCCGCAGGTGAAACTGGTGGTGGGAGACCGAACACAGCGAGCCCGCAGCCCAAACCACAAGAACCCTATGAAGATCTAGACTCCTGGTCCAAGTCATCGTTGGCACGTTATGTAGCGATGCTGCGAAAAGAGGAGGTTGCTGATTCTGACGAGGAGCGCTTCAAGATATTCACGGCCTTCATGGCCAAGGAAACAAAACTGCGTGAGATCTTGTACAACATCGAACCTGAACAGAAGAAGGATCAAGATGCGCCACAATCCTTACCGAACCGGCAGAATTCAACATCTCCTCCCGTCGAGTCGGGCTTGATTCCAGTGCAATCAGAAGAGGGATATGATGCGGAGATTTCTTCTAACGATGCCCTTGGGGAATCGGAAGAAGGCCGCTATAGTCCAGGAGGGCGTCCAATTCTTCCCCGACTTCACACGCCCCAACCGTCGGGTTTGCACAGATCAGCCTCGCAGCCTAATGCCTTCAAGGCAAAGGTAAGCAGAGCCTTCTCGTCGGCTGCTCAAAATCCAATTTCGCGGGCTACATCCGTCCCGCCCTCCATGAATGACAAGACATTCTCCCCGTTAGCAACAAACCCTCCGCAGCCCATTTACACTCCCTTTCGATACACTGAGGGCCCTCAACGTGGCTCTGATGACCTTACCTTTGACCGCCCTGCGTACCAGGCATACTCTGCGCTGCGTCAAGCGTCTGCGGAAAGTGGTCGTGTAATGGCGAACGCGGCCAACGCACCGAATCGGAACAGGTCGAGTACTGTGACGTCTTCAGTGGCTCAAAAAGACTTCGACGAAACTTTCATCGGGCTTATCCGAGAGAAAAGCGTCGCTTACAGGAATAAAACTTCTCCAAGGACGTCTTCGCCGCCTCCACTGCCGGCGGCTTCTACGCAAGGAAAGACAGGTAGTCCGATCGATGACCTGCGTTCTATGGTCTCATCGCCATTAGCAAAACAGTCTGAAAGCTCATGGCACGTCACAACCAGAAGGGATTTGGAGAAATACTCGGATGACTTCAGCTACATCCGCGAGGCCGTCAATACTTGGGAGGCATCAGCCAAGATTCGTCGCGAGAAGACTGACCGAGAGCGTATGCGACGGCAGGAGGAGTCCGAGAAGCATATTGATGACTTGTTCAACGAGAAGGAAATCGGCTATGCCGATATCAACGTTCTGGAAGAAGAGTTTCGCCAGAAAGAAGCGCGGGTACAGCTGGACGAAGAGAGACAGGAGCTGGACGATTTCGTCGCTATGGTCTTCAATCCGCTGGATGAACGTCTGAAGGGGGAAATTTCCGCACTTCAGGATCATTATGAATCTTCCCTCGCGCAACTCGACCATGAAAATAGCAAGATCAAGGACTCTGTTACCGACAAGTACAACCTGTCTCGCACAATGAAGATCGTCAATGATATCTATCAGAAGCTTGAAATACGCTATTACAAACGTCTCGAGATCGCCCTGGACCGCGAGCGCCGGCGCAAGAAGGCAGAACGACGGCCACTGGTGTTCATGGGAGATTCTGCCGCTCTGAAAAAGTTGGACGGGGAGTTTGATCAGATGGAGAAGCGAAATATACTCGAAGCAGCCAAGGCGCGCGACGACCGGGCTAACAGGCTTATGGATACGTTTGACAACGCAATCATACTCGGACTAGGCGAGAACCAAAGTCTCTTGGATGAGGTCACGGCCAAAGTGACAAGGATCGATTCTGATGCCATCCAGTCGTCTGGTCTAGCTGTAGCTGAGGTTGAGCAGTTGTTGAAATCCGTGTTCACTCTGGTCGAATCTTTGCGGCAGGATTCCGAATCCATTCTGCACAGCTTTGGTGTCGCTGACACGGCCCTCAACAACGCGGATTACAGTGTTTCTGTCGCTGAAGCTCGCTACTCCAACGCTGACCCTGAGATCTTCCGCCGTCTCGATGACGAGAAGAAGAAGGAAGATGCGAAGATTCAGAAAGATCTCCACTCGAAAATGGAGAGCGTGCGGGTTGGTCCCTCTAAGATCATTGCTGAAATCAATGATCTGCTTGAATCGTTGGGCAAAACACCAATGGTAGAGCAGCCTATGTCTTCCGAGACCATTCCTGCTGTGCACCCTATGGATGTCCTGCTGCCAGGTCCTCGTCCGCCTACGGTAACCCCTGGGCCCAGGAAGCCGGACGGAGATCCTGAGCACCAGGAGCGGCTTCGGAAAGCCCTGGAGGATGCGAAGAGGAGGAACGCTGCGAGGGGAAGTTCGTAATTTGGCAG